TGGTATCTTTGGTCCACTCTCACCCAGGGGATTTACGGAAGAGAAAAGAGGGTGTCCCCCCCCCCGGGCGGCGTTACCTTCTTGTTGTTGATGTCTAGCTGCGAGCGGTTGACGATGCCAATGATGCCCAGCTTGACCGGGATGACCTTGCCCAGTAGCACGTCCATCGCATCCGTGCCGGCGTCCATCAGGTCCAGCTTGGTGATGACGGCCAGCGTCCGGCGACCTTATTATAATTATTATTATTAAATCTTTATTGCATGTAATTCAAATACAAAAACATGTACTGAAGACAGGCTTTTTCATGGAGAAAAAATCTGATAAATGCAATAGTGTTGAGCAGTTAAAATAATAAAATTGCTGAGTGATACAGTACAAAACAGCTCCCTACACAACGTCATGAAGGAAAAATTTATATAAAAAAAAAACGTCAGTACATTCTGTACAAGTGAAGTGGGTAAGGTACACTTTAACATCAATTCAACACTGGACCTATGTGCGGCAGAGAGAGAGCGAGAGCGTGAGAGAGATAGCGAGACGATAGAGACTTCCCCCCCGATGATCGTTACCATGAGCACACGCCTGATTCTAATCATGATTCCTAATTAATAATCCTAACTATCATTACTAATCGTAACTATAATTCCTAGCCCTTACCCTAATTCCTAACCCTAACTATAATTCTTAACCCTAATCCTAATTCATAATCCTAGCCACTATTCCTAACCCTAATCCTAATTCCTAACCATAACCACAATTCCTAAATCTTATTACTAATCCTAATCCTACCCATACTAGCTTCCCCATCCCCAACCATAATTAGCTACCCTAACCCCAACCATAGTTCCCACCATAACCCCAACCAGCAACCCTAACCCTAACCACAACTCCCCTGACCCCACGTCCAACTCCCCGAACCCCAGACGCCGTCCCCTCGCCTTGCGCGCGCCCGGAGGGGGAGGGGTGAGGAGGGGAAGGAGGAGAGAAGTGGGGAATCCGGCGTACCGTCCGGGTCGACCTGCTTCGCTAGCTTGATGGCTTCCGACGTCGCCATGTCCGTGTTGGCGGCCGTGACTGCGAGGATGATGGAGTTTGGATTGCACGTGTACTGCATCACCATCTCCCGGATCTGCAGCTCGATGTCTGCCGGCTGGTCGCCGACCGGAAGCTATGACAAGAGAACGCGGCGCGGGTCACTGTGTATACGGGTCGCTCGAGAAAAACGCTAATTGTCGTTTATAGATTGGTGCCTGTTTTGTAGAGGTGGTTTCACTGTATAGGTGACACTTAATGGACAAACCACTGCCGTTACCACGTCGACGATCCTCTCGTGCAGCTTCGGAAACCTCAGCATCTCTTGCTGCAAGAAACACGTCGAACGTGAAACGTCATCAACGCAGGACTCGTGCAACGCAGACACCCCCAGTGAGATATGTCGGTGCCCTCGGGTGAGCTATGCAGCCCCAGCCCCCTTAATATCAGAGATGCCAACACATATTTGAAGCAATCTGTAGTTTCTGGCCATCAAATTCGTAGTTTGAGGGTCATGTATTAACTTGAGTTTGCTAGGGGGGTCCGGCATGCCCCCCGAAAAAATTTTTGATTCTGAGATGCAATTCCCTGCATTCTGAGGGTCAAAACTGACAATAAATTGACAAAAAATGACAATAATTAACAACAAAAAATAATTTCCGATCACAGTGAAATTCGTAGTTTGATACAAGCTGGTCATAGTGGTGCAAAAGGAATAGAAATTCGTATAAAATACGGATAAATCGTAGTGGTTGGCATCACTGTAATATGCATGCCCTCTCCCCATCCTCTCCACCTGCCACTCCCCCCGTATCATGGCGGCGTGGGTAGACGATACCTGTGTGCCGCAGTGCTGTATGATTCTCTGCATCTTCTTGTGGACAAGCTATCTGCCCCCTCTCCCTCCTTCTCGCCCCCTCTCTCTCCTCTTTACTTCTCCTACCCCTCCTTCTCTCCTCCCCCTCCCCTGTACCTGCGTGCCGCAGTGTTGTATGATTCTCTGCATCTCCTCATGCACCAGCAATCCACCTTCTCCCCCTCCCTCTCCTCTTTACTTCTCCTACCCCTCCTACCCCTCCTTCTCTCCCCTCCCCGCGTACCTGCGTGCCGCAGTGTTGTATGATTCTCTGCATCTCCTCGTGCACCAGCTATCCACCTTTCCCTCCTTCTCGCCCCCTCCCTCTCCTCTTCACTTCTCCTACCCCTCCTTCTCTCCTGCCCCTCTCCCCCGTACCTGCGTGCCGCAGTGCTGTATGATTCTCTGCATATCCTCGTAGACAAGCTATCTGCCCCTTCCCCCTCCTTCTCTCCCCCTCTCCCCATCCTCCTTCTCCCCCTGTACCTGCGTGCCGCAGTGCTGTATGATTCTCTGCATCTCCTCGTGGACCAGCTCTACGCAGCGTAGGCTCGGCTCCTCCAGCCTCCCCCTCCTCCTCTCTCCCCATCCTCCTTCTCTCCTCCCTCTCCCCCTGTACCTGCGTGCCGCAGTGCTGTATGATTCTCTGCATCTCCTCGTGGACCAGCTCTACGCAGCGTAGGCTTGGCTCCTCCAGCCTCCC